GTACGGTCTTTTGTTACAGGGCCCTGTTTCCTTTGTCCAAGTTCGGAGACCCCGGCCACCCATATAAACCATATGTCTCCGATCCCCGAGTCCCCGGCAGGAAGTGGTTTAAGAAAGCAAAACCTAAAAATCAAGACCCTTTCAATGTACAGTATAAAGATACCCTTCAAAGTATAAAGATACTGTATCATTTAAGTGGCCATTTTTCTTCTAATTTTGTGACAAACTTAATGAGTGAAATTACATCACCCCTAAACCTTCCAAGAAGTGAGAATGTGGCATTATGCCCATCCACACCACTAAGTTTTAAAGGATGGCTTACATGTACAACTCTCAATTTCACCCTAATGTTGATGGACCTCCTGGTATATGAATGCAGAATCGAATACATGTACATGTATAGGGTTAAGCCCTGTCCGTTTGCAAGTAGTTGGTCTCTAAAATGTGCTTGAATTCGTTGGGAAGTTCTGAATGTGATCCATATGAACAAGGTACAGTACCTCCCGTAGTGGACCACATGTGTTGGCTACTGGTGCCTGTTCCAAACCTCTCATTCAGTTGCAGGTTACAGCAGTGTTTTGGTACAGAAGAACTTGAACCCTGTGACATGTCTTGATAATGTTCTGAGCATCCTGTCGCCTAAACTTTTAATAAACTGTTTGAGGTATAAAGCTAATGCCGATGCTTGCTCTTTGTTGACTGGTGATGACTCCAACAGTTTAATAACTTATTGTGCTATTGGTTTGCTGCATACATGTAAGTACAACTCTTACAGAGCTTCTGGGCTTTCAAGTTTCTATTCTAGTTCAGGTCCAGCAACACAGGCAATTGCATCTAGAGCATTTTTTGCTACTGGATTAGCTCTTTATGTGCAATAGATCGTGGGACGAATCTCATCCTTACATGTGGATGGGTGGCAAATAACTTCCCAGAATGTCGAGAAAATCATTGGTCATCTGCATGAAGTTGTTGCCCAAGTAGAGCCTTGTTGACCACTTCCTGATTTCTCTCTTAGAGATATATTTGTAGAGAAGTTAACAAATTTAATCAACTTCTTTAAATGATTTTTTTTAAAAAGAGTTTTTGTGTAATTGAAGATTCTTTCAGAATGCACATATACATGTACATGTTCATTGTAGCATTGATCAAGTCAAAAGGAATGCTTACTGAGGAAATATGCATTTGAAAAAACCTTCGAGAAAATCCCCTTTAATTTCCAGTGAGACTTTTGTGTCTTTTTGACATTGGTGGTGAGGTACATGTATCTGTTAACAAAATCAACAAATTTAACTGATTTCTTTGAATATTATTATGTACATGTAATTTTGTGTCATTGAAGATCACTTTTTCAGGAATTAGCATTGATTAAGACAACGAATTGCTAAACAATGGTAAACAATGATAATTTTAAGGGCAAATTAGTCCTGTCTGTAGTTGGAATTCTCTCTAATAACTGTACTTCCGCACTACCTGACCTTATCACAAGGTGTGAGTAAATAAAGTACATGTACATGTAGATATGTACCTGCAGGCTTGGGGCTGATGTGTGACAGATGTCTGCCTACTCCATATATTTCTGTCAAGGTCATGGCTTTACTGTATGCATGTGCAGGCTCTAGGCAAGTGAGATTTTTTTCATTCAAATGAAGAAGTTTTTCGTTCGAAGGAAGAATGTTTTTATTTGAATGAAGATTTTAGCTGCTTTGGTGTACTGCCGAAGCAGCTATTGCGTTTATTAATTTTTTATTCTTGGCTTTTTCACAACTTTGCGAAAAAGACATTATTTTGTTCTGTTTTGAGCAGATCGTGTTGTATGGAATGCCAAAAGGGATAAATGTTTGCAATCTCTATTATCTGTGCACTTTCTGCGATAATAATGTTTTGTATTGTATTTTGTATTCTACATGTGTGATTGGGTTGAAACCTTGCAGATAGTATTAAGGGAAGGTTTTAAACAGAGATTGACCTCATGTGATGACAGTATCATCAGCCGACGATTCACGTGACATGAAAGGTGCATCCTTTAAAGTGCTTTATCTCCTGAAGAGCATGTCCAATTGGGTTGAAACTTGGCAGGTATTTAGAAAGCGTTGAAACTTGGCAGGTATTTAGAAAGCGAAGTGTTATAAATGAAAATTGTGATGTGACATCATGAGATGATCATGCCCCGTGACATTAAAGGTACACTCTTCAAAGCACTATATCTCATGAAGTACATACATGTCCGATTAGGTTCAAACTTTGCAGCTGTCTTAGAAGGGGAGTACTTGAGACGACTATTGACCTGATGTGATAATGGTGTCATCAGGTGTCAAATCATGTGACTTTAAAGGTACACTCCTACAAGCACTATATCTCATGAAATACATTTTCGATTGGGTTCAAACCTTGGAAATATCTTGAAAGGGAAGTGATTTACATGCATATTGCCCTCACGTGATGATAACGCCATCACGGGACAAGTCATATGATACTAAAGATGCTGTTTTCAAAGAACTATATCTCTTGAAGCACATGTCTTTTCTGGTTAAAATCTAAATACATGTACTGGTACATGCTTGTAAGTGTATGAATATGAGCATTCTCAAACATTTTGTGCTATGCCAACAAGGCACTTTTCTTCACAACCACAAAAAGGCGAAAAAGCCCTGTGTTCTGTCCTTTAGACACAGTTCCTCTAGTTTTCTTCTTCTTCTTCTACTCCTTGTTCTTCCCTCAAAAACCTGTTCATTTTGTACAGGGTTTTCCTGCCCAGCAGTTTAGACCCTTTGCAAGTTCGTATCTTCATGAAAGTTGCATCACATAAAGACCCTGTAGGAAAGATGTGCCACGAAGCATGATATCATGACGTCATCAGATGATTTTTTTATAGAATTTTGAATATTTTATTAGCTCCATAGGTTTTGTACACAGTTTCCACAAGCAAAGTTCGGCACTTTTATAAATCAAACAGAGTATAAACTAGGTACACACTCTTATCCACCAGCTAAGATGTGTCTTGAAGCATGACGTCATGATGACATCACCATGTTTTTTTAAATTGATTTTGAATGCTTTATTTTTTCTGTAGGTTTTGTACACGCTTTTCAAAAACCAGTCATCAGCACTGTGGTCAAACAGACTGACTCTTATTTTAGCCACACTTGTAATCCACCATGAAGAGAAGATGCCAAGACAAAATCGTCCAAATAACATCATCAGGAGTCACGTGACATGAGATTTTAAAAACGTACAGTTTTTCTCCATAGATTTTGTACAAAAAATTTAAAAAATGAAAGTGACACGAAAGGTGCCTTCTTTGAAGCCCTTTATATCCTGAAGTACATGTACATTTCCCATTGGGTTGAAACTTTGCAAATATACTGTAGGATACAGAAAGACCTGGTGGCAAAGATGTGCCATGAAGCATTTCGTCATGATGATGTCATTGTGTGATTGATTATGTGATGTTGAATATTTAATTTGCCCCATTAATTTTTTACGCATATTTCAAGGGTCATTTGGGGGGGTTAGCGATTTTGCAAAAAAGGCATTTTTTTTTCTTTTTTTTGGCATTTTCTCAACTTTACGAAAAAGGCATTCATTTTGTTCTTTTTTTGGCTTTTTCGCAAGTTGCGAAAAAGGCATTGTTTTTGTCAAGGTTTTTTTTTTCTTCCCTCTTCTTCTTGTTCCCATTCCTTTGTACACAGTTTTTCTTTGCAGCACTTTAGTCTCTTTGTAAGGGTCAACTTCCATGAAAGTTGCCTCAAGCAAAGACCCTATTGCAAAGATGTGCCGCAAAGCATGACTTCATGATGACGTCATCATCTGATCTTTTATTGAATTTTGAGGATTTATTTTCCCCCATAAGTTTTGTACACGTTTTTAAATAGCCAGAATGGGGTAGACTTTGACTGCTCCAGAAAATGAAACTTGGTACAAGCAAAGACTATCAGCATACATGTAGATGAATGTCTGTGTAGAAGCATGACGTCACTTTGACATCATAATTAGATTTTTAAATTTAATTTTGAAGGTTTAATTTCTCCTATTGACTTTGTACACATAAAACCCAATGACTTTACATACAGTTTTGCTACAGGGCTTGCGCCTGCCCATTGCGCGATCAGCTCAGTGACTTGTGCGATATCGATCCATGTTAGCATTGTCGCACAGTCTTATTGCATGATTTCTAGATAATTTGGCTAGAAGGTTGTAAAAAAATTGTGCGAAATATTGAGGGCTTTGAACTCTGAAATTCCATTTCATCAGGCCTCAACCATTTTTTACATTCAACACAAGTCGTCCGTGCATGTATCAACGATATGTGCTGTCTCGTGTCAACACATGGATTCAATCGACATGATCGAGACGATATTTTCGAGGGGCCCATGTATTTTCTCAGGACCTCTTGGGACTTCCTGGACCTGAGATTACACCAATTGAATTTTTAATGGACTTTGCTTGATCAGAGGATTCCAAGGTAATCACCTAAAAGCTGAACTAGAAATTGCAGAAGGACTTGACACCAAATAGGCTTTTATAGGCATGATCACAATGATCGTGAACAAGGGTGCACCGGACCCAACAGGTACATGTAGTGCGGCGGGCAGCTGGGTTTGGAAGCTGGATGGACGAAGTGCTGGAACTGGTTCTGGTAGGCAAAGGTATACGTATTACAAAATATCCCCAATTGCAAGTTTTTGTCTGCACTTTCTGTGCTATGTAGCTCTGGACAGTGATGATAAGAGAATTGACTCAATTTAGCTCTGAATTTGCACTATGAGGTATCCCGAGAAATTTGAACTCTACAAATGGCCTTTTTTAACATTTCGATATGGTCACCTTATGTCTAAATGATAAAAAGGCGATTAACAGTGATTAGTAAGTCCTACGTGTTCAGCGCAATCCAGTGATCAACTTGCACATATTCATTAGCTTCCTCCTGTGTACATTACTCAATGGTTTTAGAGTGATGGATTTTATTCAAAGGCAAATCAAATCAGGATGGAGCTCAATACATGTACATACATTTGCAAGTTTTAGGTATCAAACCGACTAAAGTCCCTCACAGTGCTTATACCGTATTTTATAACTATGCCCCCCCGGACAAACCATGTAATTAGGGTTTTACGGAACATGTGTAAATATCCAAAAATGTCTGAAATTCGAATGTAGCCCTACATGTACATGTATATACATGTCAATGTATCGGAAGCTGAGTAAGTACACAGAATAGTTGAATAGTTGAAATTTTTGCTTCGTATGTATACATGTACACGTAGGTGTCCTTTGTACTGCTGCTGGAGTGAAAGCTATGGATAAATCTGTTCTCCATGTAGTTCGGAGCATTGGAATTCAACGTAATTGCAGTTACAAGAAGCACGGGTACCAACGATAAAGGAAGCTGCTGTACAACAAAGCAAGGAAATGAACAGGTGATGGTGAAAAGGCCTACTGTTGCATTGACATAAAGACAGATTGCCAGTTCTGGTTTATGCAGTCATGATGTTGTGTGTACAATGTATGTGTGCAGGCATGGCATACCATAGTGTGGACCTCTGCACAAAAGAAGTCCACATAATGTAGGGTGTGGTGGCGTAGTGTGGACTCGCTCACGTCCACACAATGTTTCCCCCTCTCTGAAAAACAGTTTCAGAGGCATTTTGGGATCAAGGTTATCCATAACAAAATGAAGAGGAACAGTCCAGGAAATCATCATAAAAAGTCGAGCTAGAAGGAGTTATCCTAGTTAGAGAAAAAGGAGCATTTCCCCAAGTTTCCTTAACCACAGTAGAACAAAGGAATGTCCACACTTTGTATGTAAAACTGGTATGTGTGTGAGGGTGTGTGTATGTGAGTTTGTTTCTGCATTCAATTGGGGACCCGGAACA